ATATTTCATAATAATATGCAACGAATGTTTAACGTTGACTAGTCCCTACGTGAAGGGGCTTTGTGATTAAATGTAGTTTAACATTGACTCGTGACCATGAAAAGGGGCTTAGTGATTAAATGAGTTAAAATAACTTTAGTGACCAATTTAAAAATTTGTACCTACTTTAGTAACGATTAGTGAAATTAACTCTTTAAGAAAACACCGAAAGATGGTAAAAACGTCTCCACCGTCGAATCCCGAGCCTACAGCCTTTACTGATGTTCTGACGTCTAATGGCCCCTGGAATCTGCATTTAGGAATCTCAGTGCCTATTACCAATTTAAACCCACCTCTATTTCAATGTCCAACCCAAATCTCTGTCTCGCCCCTTTCGCGCTTTCTTACATTGTCTTCTTCAAATATTGTAGACAATTTTTCTTAGTTATAATTTGCAGAGTTGTGTTCTGAATTATTAAGTTTTTGAATTTGGTAAATGAAAAATGGCCTCAGTTGGAATTCGATCGTCAAGTCTGTGTAAATCATCAGATTTGGACTTTTCCAAGGCATCAAGTGCGAAGCTGAGGCCGGTGAATGTGTCGGTATTGAATTGTAAGAGTAAAAGATTGGGAATTTGCGGTGTAAAGCTGAGATCGAATTTTCTGGAGCCTATAAAGGCAATGGATGCTTCCGAAACGACGTCGGACATCAATGGCGGTTGCAATGCTATCGATGATGTGTTGACAACAGATTGTGATGGTTTCCCCGATATTTTTCTGTTCTTCTGATGTTTAAGTTTTCTTACGGAGGGAGAATGATTTTTGTTTATATTCTAATGACGTCGAAAAACTTTTGACTAGGTAAAAGTACGCCCAAGATGTCAACAGTTGGAAATTCGACCAATATTCTATGGCATAAATGTTCTGTAGAAAAGAGTGACAGGCAGGAATTGCTTAAACAAAAAGGTTGTGTAATTTGGATTACGGGACTCAGTGGTTCAGGTATGTATAACACAAACAACAGCTTATGTAATTAGTAATAGCTTCCTGAATCAATTGTTTCTTGGCCTTCTGGCCGTTCAACATTCATTTATTTGCTATACGTGTGTTTTTCTTAAGTTTCCTTGATCTTTCATAGATTTGGACAGCTTTTGTGTAATTTTGATTTGATTACGCTGGCTATATCGAGAGAGACTTATGGCGATATACTAGACTGATCCCCTAGAACAACACATTTTCTTTTTCTTCTTCTTGTGCATGAAGAGGTTTGTTAGAGTTTACAATCAAGGGGAGATTTCCCATTATGTATTTGGAAACTCTTCTGCTATTAGTGTCAAGCAGGTGGAATTCATTTTCTTCATGTGAATTCATTTTTTGTGAAGGGTAAACTAACTGGTAGTTTATGAAACATAAACCTTGATTCTTTTTGACAGTGGTGTGAGTAAAATATAGAGATTAGAAGAACACAGAAAAAAATTGTTAGCTACAGTGTTTGTCATCGAAGTGCGAATGATATATTAACCAAGTTTGCTGAATTAATTTCTTAAGAGTGGTATATTCAAACTTGATCACATCATGTACACTGATATTTTAAGTGCTAACTGAACTGAAATGCTGAAGGGTGGATACCAAAATCAAGTGGTCTAAAAATTATTTCAATTTGTATCTTCATTTATCAAACATGAATTAGATTGTTCCCTGTGGGATCTCACATCAATATAAGTATATAATTTTACAAGCATGAATATAATTTTGCCAATTGTGAAAGAATTCTGCAAAAACTTACTAATCAGTAAATTAATTTTTATTTTCTTTATTGTTTTATGATTGCTTTCATTTCTCCCTTCCACGAGTAATGACGGTCTCTGTCACTCTCAGTTACTTGATTTATTGTTTCTTTCATCTGTTTTTCCACGAATTAAAAGGGACTTATCTTGCTTTGGTGATTCACAAATATTTAGTTATATTATACTCGTTTCACTCTGATATTGTTTTGAATCATTTTTTCCCTTTTACCAACCTACCTCAATCCCCTTTCTTAGCCTTCATACCTGCCATTCTCCGTCAATCTAGAAACAAATGATCCAGATCATCGGCCTATATAATTATTAACCCTTGAACTTTTACTTCAGGAAAGAGCACTTTGGCATGTGCTTTAAGCCATGGCCTACATGCTAGAGGAAAGCTAACCTATATCCTTGATGGAGATAATGTAAGGCATGGGTTAAACAGCGATCTTAGTTTTAAAGCTGAAGATCGAGCAGAGAACATAAGAAGGATTGGTTGGTTTATTGCCTGATTCATGATTTATTATTCTTTATGTCGAAACACATCTCTTTTCTTCAAAGTTTAAAACACACCCCTTGTTATTTTATCCGACACAGGAGAAGTATCTAAGCTCTTCGCTGATGCCGGAGTTATTTGTATTGCAAGTTTGATATCACCCTACAGAAAGGATCGAGATGCCTGTCGAGCTCTGCTGCCAGAAGGAGACTTTGTCGAGGTTAGTTCTTCTCAACTTAATAGGACTTCATCCCATACTTTGATGTTGGAAATTTTGATATGTAAAATTTAAGTTTTTTGCAGTACTGGTGTATATGTTTTTGTTCCAATTATGTGGCTGAAAATCCTTGAATTATGCAGGTATTCATGGATGTACCTCTACAAGTGTGTGAGGCAAGGGATCCTAAGGGGTTGTACAAGCTTGCACGAGCTGGAAAAATCAAAGGTATTTCTTGGTTCTTAGCTGGTGATTGAGATTTGAAAACCTAGTCTTTTTTTCCATTACCATCTATTTACATGTATTTTTGGGGAGATCATGAATGGTAGATTGCTCGAAAAGCCTATTTCATATACTCACCTCTCTACCCTCTTTCTTCTCTGTATACTTTTCTTTTCAATTTTCTTTTTATTTGTACACTGCATTTTTTTTTCTAACATAAAATCAATAATGAGGCTCCAAACATCTTACCCTCCTGACTTGCTCACCAAGCAGCTGTTGGTTGCCATTGCCACATTCATATTCACTCTCATCATGTTACAATAGCCGTGTAGGTTGACTTTGTACCTTTCAAGAGGTGGGGCTTCATATTTATGTTCAATTTAAGGATCTAATTCTATAAATTTTGTTGTAAGATATCGAAATTGTCAATTCAAAAGGTCGTTTGTCCATTTGTATAATTATTGTAATGAAGTTTTGTGTGCTTTTAGAAAGTCTGTATTATTGTCTGTGTTTGCCCGAAAATCGAATGAGCCTCCTACCCTATTTGTTGCTTTCTTTTAATCTTTTTGAGAAGGCAAATATCTGGTTTAACCTGTCATTTCATCTCTACCTTCTGTGTGAAGTTGTGAATTTCATCTGCCTCCACTCCCTTACAGCTCCACTCTGTCTTCTTTATTTAGTTCTTTGTTTAATTTCTGTGCTTTCAGGTTTCACAGGTGTTGATGATCCGTACGAGCCACCACTAAATTCTGAGGTATGCTTTCCATGTAAAACTTGAAGTGCCTTTTGCTTGAACTCGTTTAAGAATGGTCATGTAATACAGTGTCTTGTGTGTTCTTGAGGCTACAAATATATTTAGCATGAAACATGTTGAGTTGGCATGTGGAACGGGGTTCTTTTACTCGGGAATTGTTAAATGACTACTTCACTACAGAGAGAAGAATTACACCGTCCTTTCGGATAGCTGTATTGCCATCAAAACTTGAGTTTGTACAGCAATTTAACATAGATGATTGGACAGTATTAGACATTGTTAACATATTATTGAGTCGAAAACTTTGTGTACCCAACATGCACTCAATGTTTTGTCAGCCCCTGATGCTGTTGAGTTTCCACTTTGCAGATAGTATTGCATCAAAGAGAAGAGAAGTGTGATTCTCCAACTCACTTGGCCGAAGTAGTGATTTCATACTTGGAGAAAAAAGCTTATTTGGAAGCATAACTTGCAATTGAAAGTACCTATTCTCATGCAATAAAGAAAACGGCTTGTTTTCTTTTTGCATATTTTGTTGTAATTATTTGATTGATCAGACAGTTCTTTTTTTGCCATATTCTTTGGCAGTTTAAATGTAATAAATTGTGCAAAAATAAAGTGTGGGGCTTTCTCTTTTCAATCATGCTTGGTATATATCATGGTATACACCAAGTTTTACATTTTGTCACTTGACAATACATAACTGGACAATTTAAAAACAACACAAGTTTTTGGTCCAATCATTCGTCGACAAGTTGGATAATGTCAAAATGATGTATACAAAAAGATGTACAAATGACATTTCCCTTCTCTTTTTTATTGCATTTTTACAACCCCCCCAATCCAACCCGATGCGTCCACCATCACCACCATTTAGGATAATTTTATTTAATTCTAATATTTTTTTAAATTTCACATTTTCCGTAAGATTGACATCTTGATAGTTGATACACTGAGTCACGTGATTAGCAAACTCCCCTATTCATTTGGCATGACAAGATTGCAAACTATGGGTTTAAGACCAAATTATAGAAAAGTACACTTATATTAATGTCCCATATGCAAGTATAATTGTAATCTTCCTATTTAGAATATATAATGCGTTTACCTCATATTTTAGCTTGTCGACCCGTTTGTTTGGGAGGCTATCTCAGGGACTATGGAACCCGAGCCTGGACGGGTCAACGACTTTACTTACTCCTACCATTTTGTTTAAGTTTTGATTAAAGTAATTTTTATTTTTCCGTATTGTAAATTGAATTGTATAATTATAAATAACGGATAACAATAAACTTGTAGAAAATTAAAATTAAACCGGACCACACGGAAAACGGGTTTCTAGACCCCCAGAATATAAACCAACCGGCAAGGCGGCGACGGGACAGAAGATGTCGGGGGCACCATTTTAACTGTCTACAACTCCTCTTCGAGATTAAAAGCTGAGTCAAATTGTTCTCAAAAAACCCTAATCGAATTTGCACCCTATCAACTATACAGTTCACGGAAGAGGAAGAAAGGCACCAGAAATCCGAAGTACTCCATAGCCATGGGGAAGAAGCAGCACAGCAAAGATCGAATGTTCATAACGAAAACAGAGTGGGCAACCGAGTGGGGCGGCGCCAAATCTAAAGAATCCGGGACCCCATTCCAACGTCTCCCTTTTTATTGCTGCGCGTGAGGACTTCATTCTTCTTCCCCAATCTGCATTTATGTGATTTTGAAATTCTTTAAATTAATCGCTTATTGCTGAATTTTGTTACAGGCTAACTTTTACACCATTCGAAGACCCTGTTTGCACTGCTGATGGCACCGTTTTCGATATTCTGTAAGTATTTGTGCGGTGAAGTGTTTGTGTGCTCCTTGTTTTTGCTTTGATTGGATTCTGAATATTACATTGGTTTTCAAATGTGGTGTTTAGGAATATAATTCCATACATTAGGAAGTTTGGGAAGCATCCAGCTACTGGGAATCAGCTTAAGCAGGAGGACTTGATACCGCTTACTTTTCACAAGAATCCCGAAGGTTATTACTTGTCCCATTTACAATTCATGAATTCTGATCCTTCGTGTTTTTAGATTGGAGCTTCAGTTGCTGCATTAGACTTGTACAATGCACTGGAGTATTGTCTATGCGTGCAATTAAGCCTGTAACTTGAACTTGAAAAAGATAGTTGAATTTCAAAAACTTGAGTCACTGAAAAAAAAGAAAAAGAAAAGATAACATGAATCTTTTTGAATTAGCTTATTTTCCCAATTTGTTACCTGCCTTACTATTATATATACTTTTGGTATCGATCTATTTGAGCAGCTTCTTTAGTAAGAGTTTGGGTGTGCAAATATGTGCAGGGTATAGGATTTTGTTGTTTAACAGCTAGTCTCAGTTTACTGCTGAGGGTCATTGCTCAGCAGTTAAAGTTCTCTATTTTGTAGTTTATGTCCGAAAATATTAAAATTATTACTAAGCATCACTATTTAATGCTGTGATAAATAATTGCTGTAAAGTTATGCATTCAAATAGGCTGCAGGCATTGCACTGGATGTTATAGATTTTCTTATCGTTACATTCTCATCAAGAACCTTCACAAAATAAGATATTAATATTTCTAATATGTCTTACAATTAGAATCACAGCTTAGGTTATTGCTGAAACGAGTTACCAGTCCATTGCCATTTCAGCTGTTCTTTGCGACAAGGGCAAACAAGTTTTATAGCTTATAGAGTATGGACAGATTTTAGGGTCAAAAGGAGTATTAAGGCCCTGTTTGGGAGGGATTTAGATTTTTCTACAGTAAATCAATTCTCATTTTCAACCACGTTCTTCAATAAAATAATATTTTCCATCACATCAATAATTTTTTCTTCTTTTTCAACCGCACATTTCGCATCATATCACTATTCAAAATCAATTTTTCCCTAAAAAATTCCTCCCATACAAGCTCTAAATATTCTTTGCATGTTGGTCTGAGGGTTTTACATTTTTATTTTATTTTTTATGAAGGAAGTTGAAAAACTAGATTGGATTTCTATAGATGTAATTGTTTCACTTCTTGAACTGTGAATATTATTTGACAACTAAAACACTTCCAAATGCGATATCCATAATTTGAGGAAATTTGCCGTTATGTTTTAGGTATTCTAATATTAAATACTTAGTAAGTCCTATGAAATTTTCTTGAAATCATATGTGATGTTTCGTCTTTACTTTGGTATGGGATTCAGATCCTTTTTTTCTCAACTCTCTTTTTTTTTTTGATCATGGTAAATGATCAACATTGGGTAAAAGGTCAGAACTGTCTATGCCATTTATCGGACCGAGTGTTCCTAGAAATAATCTATAACTGCAAGTCTACTTAGATACAGATCTACTTATGGGTACCAAAAAGTAGACAGACATCTAAATATTGCTTTACCTAGCGATGAAGTTGACAAACAATTCTGGAGGATCTCCGAGCAAGTATTGGGTACATTATCCTTTTGGAGAACTTGTTAGGATTTGGGGTTCCATCTTAAAAGGTCAATCTTATTAAGATGAGTAACCCAGTCCTTTATAAGTTGGTCTATGCTTACATCTTTATTCAACGTAGGATTCTATCCCTTGACATGCCCCCGCAAGATGGTAGCTCATTTGAGTAGACCAATCTTGAAATTCGTATGCTCACTTTTGGAGTCTTAATCGGATTGAATTGCTCGTTTGAGCTTAATGGGCTCTGATACCAAATTAGAAAGGATATTGGGTCTAACTCAACCTCACAAAATCGGCTTGTTAGGGGATGATTGTCCTCACCTTATTAAGTGGATCGTGTAAATATCAATGACCAATGTGGGACTCTAATACTCCGCCTTACGCACAGCGTGGATCATGCCAAACAACTGTGAACAAAACGATATTGGGTGCACGTAACATTGCAAAATTGGGCCTGCTCTGATACCATGTTAGGATNTTGTACTTACCTTATTAAGTGGATCGTGTAAAAATCACCAACTAATGAGAGACTCTAATACACCCCCTCACGCACAGCGTGGACCATCCCAAACAATTGTGAACAAATCGATATTGAGTGCACCCAACATTGCAAAACTGGCCTGCTCTGATACCATGTTAGGATTTGAGGTTCCATCTTCAAATGTCAACCTTATTAAGAGGAGTGACATAATCCTTTATAAGTTGGTCTATGCTTACATCTCTATTCGATGTGGGACTCTATCCCTTAACAAAGGGGAATTCACAAATCCAACTTCCTTGGGTGCAGTTGGCTGGAAATATGTCTTAAAATATGAATATTTACTTTATTCTGAACAACATGAATGGGACTTGGCATCACTATGATGCAATTGGTGTTTAAAAAGCTATTGGCCAGCTCTTAAAAAATGCAAAACAGAAGGCAAAAAAAGGAGTATAAAACTGAAAACAAGTTTTATAAGATGTGATGTAAAAAAAAACTGGTGGGTCATGGGGTCACTAACCCTTGGCCAGTTTTATAACGGAGATGAATTGGTGGGAAACCTAAGCCATTTGTTCCATGTTTCAATCTATCAATTAGATATCACTGCCAGGGGAGAGGGTGGGGTGGGGTTTGGGGGGGTAGACGTAGTAATAAAAGGGGTAGAGGCATGTACCTGAGTTAGGTGGTTTTGGATGCTTTGGAGAAGGGCGGTGAGGCTGCTCGTCGTGGAACTCTGCCAGCAGAGCCAGGGGTGACAGTGGTTATAAGTAAATTTGGCTAAGTGGGGTTAACCAAAAAAAGTTAGGGTGTTGATGATAAGAGCAAGGTGAGTTTTGGATAGAAGAGGTGAAATTAATATGAAAGGAGATAGGACTAAAAAAGTCACCATTCAAGATGGAGACTCCAATATGTTCTGTTGAAATAAAGACACTTTTTGTTCTAGAAAA